CCGGGGGGGGGGGGGAGGGAGAGAGAGAGAGAGAGAGAGAGAGAGTCAGTTAGTTTATAAAGAGCAGAATAAGCCCCAATAACCCCCAGATTCTCCAGAAGGATTCTCACATGACAGGAAACACAGTAAGTTGTCCTTCTCTGAATTCAATATGTTTTTCTAATTATAACTAAATTGTGGGGAGGTCAATACATACATCTTTTAATTTGGGGGGACTCCAGAAAAGACTTTTTTCACACATCTTCTAAAGCACAAGTCATGATTATTGTCTAACATCATAATCATGGCAAGTATGAATATGTCCCTTTGTGGCAGGAAAGAAACCACATGAAACAGACTGGATTTCAGTTTAAAGAGATGCAAACTGGAATTTCCATATACATTGCTCAGGTGCATTCACTCTTGCAAAGCCAGTTTCCCTTTTATCTACAGTGGGTTTTCCCTTTTGGGGAAGATCTCTATACCCCCTGATAATCTTTTCCAAGAAAAGTTCTGCCTAATGTGTAACTGGCACTTCCTTGTCTTTTCTCATCATTTCTCTTCTTTTCAAGTTCATCAGGAAGAAAGTCAGGTGGATGAATGTCATCTAAGAAGGTCATTAATGCAAAAATATTCAATAATTTTTTTGAATATTTTTTTCTGCCTTTTTCCCTCCTGCTTTGTCCCAATAGAAAATCCAGCTGATTTTTTTTTCCAGGTTAAAGGAAAGTCTCAACAGAATATCTGAAAAGGAATGAATTAATTGTCACTACTATCCATGAATTAAAAGTCCTTATTAATAAAATGGGTCCAGGAAGAAAAAATGAACTCATGACCTGAAGTAATTCTATCCCTACACACATCCCTTTCTCCATCTGAAAGGTTGACTCATATGTCTTATACTTAAGTAACTATGAATTGTAAAGACTGCTGTTGCCATGAACATTGCCAACTGTTGTGATAAGCCCATTTCCAAAGTCTTCAGATCACAGGTGTGAAATGGTCCACTGGGCTTGTGTATATGGGGAAGAGATCAATGTGCCATGTTTGAGAAGATATACTTCTGATTCTTTTGATGAACAAATAATGTTACTCCCTCCAATAACTACCATGGTGTTAATTTTTTTAAAATCAATAACACAATCTTAGCAACAGACATGAGTTAACAAGTTTTGAGAAGAAAATTTTAAACTAAAATAGACCCACATAAAGTAGTTTCCTAATAAATTGATTAAGGGTCTATTAAAGCTAATGTGTCAATTTTAAGAAGCATGAGAAATAAACTGAAAATTTACAATAGCTTACATTAAAAAAAAAACATAATATTGATTGAGTAAACACATGAAAATACATTTACTAGCAAAACAGCCAGACCTTAGTAAGATGAATAAGAAAGAAAATGACAACAAGGACAGATTCAGCATAATCCTGGGTGGCCCAGTAGGAAAAAAAAAAATGTACAGCAGACTATTATGAGGGAAGAATGGTATGGTTATTAAAATAGGACAGTGAAATCTGTGAAACCATATTGGTAACCTCAAAAATGGCAAACATGACTCACTAAGTTGGATTAAGAAAAAAACAGGGCAAACTACAAGCAAACAACAAATTACTATTTGGCATGAGTCATCTGTTATATATTCTTTCAAGAATTTTACATGCAATATTGGTTGCCTTAATTGAAATGCTAATTATATCTCTACATGGAATATAGGAAAAAAGAATACAAATTCTTAAACAATCTGAAATTTTAAGTGTAGTTAAGAAAGCTGTGCTCATTCTTCATAGACATATTGGAGGCTAAATGGCCTGGATTTTTAAAAAATTAAGTATATAAAAATAATATCTTTAAGTTTTTAATTCCATGTGTTGCATGATTTCAAATTAGGAAGAAGTAGTAAATGGAAGAGATTCAATAACATACATGTTAAGATACTTGGTTTAATACAGAGTAGAGGTAATACTACTTCCTGCCAGAGTAAAGGAAGCATATGGAACATGTTATCAGGAAGGAAATCAGGCAATGAGGATAAATGAGTTCAAGAAGCATTTTCGAGAATGGGAACTTTTTAAAGGGACAAACTCTAAACGATGATAAAGACCTGATAATGTGACAAGAGGATATATTCCTAACCACTATTTCTGGCCTATGAAGACATTTATTGAAACATATAACACCAGAGAGGATCACCTTACATAAGTGGTTTACTCTATTTATGTAGAAAATCTCTCAATAAAGTAAATCTTAAATTTGAAAATGTCAACTGCTGAATAAGTTCAAAACGTAATTATCATTTCTGGTCATTACTGTAAGCATTCCAAGTTCCTCATATATCATTCTGGATTAAACTGTTCAAGGTCTTGAACTTCTATGCCTGCAAATCTCTACTTAGAAGCTGTTTTTTCCTCCTAAATACAAAATTCTTATTTGGCCAATATAATAATTTCTTTTAAACGCTAATACCTACTTTGTGTCACCAAAATATTCCCAATAAACTCAAACCATCTTGCCATTTGACTATTTCCTTCATCTGCATTTTATAATGATCAATGAAATATAACAAAGCTTTTTGAACTTGGTAGAAAACTGGGGAAGAATTTTATTTATTTAAAATTGTCTTTTTTAGTTTTAGATGGAAACAATACCCTTGTTTTATTTTTCTATTTTTATGTGGTGCTGAGGATTAAACACAGTGCTAGGCAAGCACTCTACCACTGAGCCACAACCCCAGCCCCCTAATCATTTTAAAAGGGGAAAAAAAAAAAACTGTTTTGGTCTTTTATTATCTATTGGAAGATTTGACAATGACAGATTTTTTTTGTTTGTTTGGTTCCTTGGTTTTGGAATATCTCCCTATCTACCTGCTTCATGTGTGGCAAATATGCAAAAGAAATACCTAGCATTACTGAAATAGGAAAGCTTTACTTATTAAAAAACAACAACAACAACAACAAAAAAACCCAACAAAGTCAATTTGCCATCACCAGGGGACTATTACAATCTAACTGTTAAAACAAAACAAGTTAATTTGTCTTTCCTTGCCAGTCCAAAGGAGACTTGCTCAAAGCCAATTTTTATGAAGTCTGGTGCCAATCTAGGCCATAAAAGAAAGACTGATAATTTTAAAAAGCACTCAGCTTCAAGTACATCTCAACTCAAATTCTGGATTCTAGTGGTGCTTGAAGAACATGCTAGTTTCTTTTTGGCACTAGAAAAAAAAGCAGGAAAAATTCCATCCTAATTATGAAAAGCTTTACTTATAATGGTAATTGATTTAAATACATAAACCCTTAGTAAAAAAGACAAGTAAAAATATCATCAATATTCTATGGAAAATTATTATTTTTTTAGAAAGAAATATGTATTTTCCATAATGTTTTCTTTTTTTTAATATTTTTTTTAGTTTTTCGGCAGACACAACATCTTTGTATGTGGTACTGAGGATCGAACTCGGGCCGCACACATGCCGGATGAGCGTGCTACCGCTTGAGCCATATCCCCAGCCCCTATGGAAAATTATTAAAAGAAAAAATAGTGTTTTGAAATTATGGTATGGTTAAGAAACCATGAAGAGTTTACCTCTATGTTTAATAAATAATTTTTATGACATTAGAATCCATATGGAGAAATATACAAAAGTATAAACCATATAAATCAATAAAAGGAAAATTGCCATATAAATCAATAAAAGGAAAATGTTGACTATATTTCTGCTAATGTACATCTCAAGACATACTGATTTTTATGGCTATCTGGAAAATAAAATAAAATAAATTATGCCTGAATACTTTGCAAAGCTTCTAGGACCTCAACTCTTTCAGCTCTTATTTCAGCCCCATTTATACTGCTCTCACTTTCTTTCCCATAAATGTTTTAGTAGCCAGGTTTATATCATAGTTACTTAAATGCATTTCCTACACTTGATATTTTTAAAGACATTTTTTACTCTATTTAAAATCTATGAATTATATAAGGATAGCATTGGCACTTCCTTCATTTCTAAACCTGACATAACACCACATGAAATGGCTCAATAGAACCACCAAACTTAGTCATTTTATTTTGTTTTGTTTTGTTTTGAGGCTAAACATATATAAACAGTACACTGGTACTATAAAGCATCTACTTGAGTCTTGACTCTTCTATGGAGGCATTGTTAAACTGTGCCAAGAAATGAATGTGTTTGGGGCTTCATGTTATATACATGTATAAAGGGCAAGTTGACTCCTGAAAGAACATCAATCACTGAGCATACATCACTGCATGGAGTGGGGGTTGGGATATGAGAGTGGGAGGGAGGAAGAAGAGAAAGAGGTTGGAGGAAAGGAGGGGAGATGGAAGGAGAGGCAGAGAATGGCATTGAGAAAGAGTAGCAGAGAGAGAGGAAGGGAAGAAGGGGTCTAGAGTCAGGAGGGAAAGAGGAGGGTATCAGCAGGGGAAGAGTCAGTACATGTAAGTGAGCTTAAGAGTGACAGTATGGGCAATTTTAACCTATTCACTTAAAGTTAGGTTCAATAGTGCGAATCTCCTATACTATGTCTGTTCAATATGTAAGTTAAAACACAGAGGTATTTAGATTTGGCTTTCAATCCTCTTTCCTAAGTGAGGGTTTGACAGAAGAAAGATCCTTCAAACTTTCATCAAAACAAGCAATAAAACCAGTTTATAGTCAAATGCAAAACCAACAGCGAAGCTAACCTTCATAAACACAGCAAATCTACCCTCTGGGGGATTCTGGTGACTGTATCCAGGAGCATTTGCTGGAAGGCCAACAAGGGTTTCCTAAAAGGGTTTTAATCATATTCCCAGGGCCCATATTTCTAAAGAGAAAAGTCACAGTTCATATATCTTTAGTCCCTTCATCAAAAGCAAAGAGAAAAGATACATTTCTCTTCTGGAGGTTAAGGGACTCTTGCCTATAAAACTATATTGTTATTTAAGTTAAAAGTTGCTTACACTTTCAACCATTTATTTTTTAGAGGAAAAGTTTATCTTAAAGTCTCTTGAGGCTTGAAAATATATTACTTACCCAGAAATTAACATCTGATATCACGGTTATTCTATGGGTAACTAGAGCTACCAGGAAAATATTAACTTTCTCTTATGAAAAATAGAAGTTTACTGGCAAATACATGCATAAGTAGGATAAGACTTGTAATTTTTTGTTGAAATCCAAATGGCTGCACATTTTTACATTCCTACCAGCAGTGGGTTCTAATTTCCCACATCCTTAAGCACATTAGTTACTGTCTTTTTGGTTGTAGCTGTTCTAGTACATATTAAGTGGTGCTACACTATTAGTTTTGATTTTCTTTATCCCAGGGCTAATAATGCTTAGTATTCTTTGGTGTGCTCTATTGGTCAGTGATACATCTTCTTTGGAAAAATGTTAATTCGAATCCTTTGCTTTTATTTTAAACATGTTGCTCTGTTTTGGTGGTAGTGGATGTCAGGGTATAGGGAGTTCATTATATAGTCAGAATATTAACTACTAATCAGATTTGTGATTTGCAGATATTTTCTTCCATTTTATAAGTTGGTTATCTTTTCAGATTATTTGTAGCACAAAATCGTTAATTTTTTTTTTTTTTTTACTTTAAAAAAAACCCTTTATTCCTTCATTAGCAACCTTGGAAAGAGAAATTCACATCAGAACTCAGAGCAAGGCAAATACCCCCAAATATTTGGCTATAGAAGTCATAGCAGAATTTAAACCAAGCCAGACCCACTCTAACTCTGGCCACAGCCTCATCTCTACATCCTGGACCCCATCACATGGGCTGGAAACTGGCTTCACTTCATCCAAGGGCTTAGTTCCAGAGCATTCATTGCTTCCTCGAGTTTGAGCATTCCTCGCTCCTGTCGCTGGCGGTGCCACTCAGCCAAGGACTGAAGCATCCATCTGGTCCGGAGCTTTGACAAGTAGGAGCCATAAACCACGATCTCGGTGAATTCTGAAGATTCCAGAGTCTTCAGCTCGAGCATGGCCTTGCTCACCTGCTCGATGTAAGGGATCCGACATCCGCTCGGGCCCAACAGGGCTTCCAGCAGTCGCGTCGGGACCTGGAACACCTCTGGGTCTTTCAGGTCTTCGGGAACTTTCACCCATGGTGGGATATCTCTACGTTCCGCGACCGCACCCATCTTGAGTCCTTAAAAATTACTCTCCAGCGGAGATGAGTCCTAACAGTGCTGCCCAGAGCCGCGGCGCGGGCAGTGTCTCCAGCTGGGCGGCCCCGCCCAAAATCCTTAATTTTTATGCAGTCCAATTTATTTTTTCTTTTGTCATATATGTAAAATTGAAGTCACATCTAAGACACCATTACCTAACCCAATGTAAAATTTAATCTTAAGTTTTCTTCTGAGTTCTACAGTTTTAACTCTTACACTTAAGGATGTGTGTCTTTTTGAATGAGCTTTGTTAATGGTATAAGCTGGAGGTTCAATTTCATCCTTTTGAATGTGGATATCCAGTTGTCCCAATACCATTTGTAGAATAAATTTACCTTTCCTTACTTACTTTTATTGTTCTCTTCATTCCTTCCTACATATTTGAGTTACCATCTGGTGTCATTTTCTAATTCCAATACAGTGCTGTTTCTACACTTTGCTTTTATATTGTTATTCTCAAACATATGAAACTCCTGTATGTGACAGGCGCAACAATACATTGCTTTATAGAGTTTTTAAAATAAGCCAAGAGTAAAAAAAAAATTTTTAACTATGTATTTTATATAGATAAAATTATGTTCAACATAAATCTGAAATTATTTGTTTTTTTTATGTGTGTGTGTGTGTGTGCATGTCTCATATTTGTTGATGGTAAAAACTATATATTTCAGATACATAGTATAGCAATCCCAAATGCTCATGTCCTCTTCTCTACCCTACAGCTTTTTTTGTTGTAGTATGCTAATTTGTTTAATCCAGACTGCTTCACTGAACTCCATTTCTACCACAGTGTGTAGTCAGCCTTTCCTGCACAGTTTCCACTACCACGGATGTCGGTGACATTATTTTAAGCCTGGCTTCCTAACAGCTGCTCCTGAATCTAAGTAGTATATTCTTCAGTCAGTGTTTGGACAGAGGTTATGTTCAAGACTTGTGCCAAATGAAGCTTTCACTTGGTTTCGATGAGTCTGTTTGAAGATAGAGAATGCTTTCATGTGTGTACCAAGTCTCATTCTGATTCGTGCTTGAGTGAGTACAGCCCAACACAGAGCACAGGCTTCCTGACTCCCAGAGGTGACTGTGACCCCTGGAAGACCCTTCTTGGCTTTCTTTTTCCCTGGTTCTCCATACTTGCCTACAGGAGGGCTTCTGCAACAGGGGACTGAGGAAGCTAAAATGCCAGCATGGCAAGGTCACAGACAAAGTTGGAGGAGAGGGAGCTGCTGTCTTCTTGGCTGCACATGCCTGAAATAGAGCAGATCTGGAGGTGGCTGGTAATGGACTGGGTCACCGAAATGTCACAGACTCTCACCCTTCTACATTTTAGTAGATTTTCTTGACATTGTTTCTCCATTTCCTATACAACTTTAGGACAATTTCCAAAGACTTTCAATAAAATTTTTATATAATTTTCACCAGTTAAACTATTGTTTTGCAGATGAGAGGGGTCAATAAGTTTATCATTCTATTTATAAAATACCTCTAAATGGCTCATTAAAGTAAGATTTCAGATAGTTTCAAGTTACAAATTAAGTAATTTTGACAATTCTTATGTTAGCATTTGACAAAATTAAGCAGAAACATTAGAAATCATCCATTGCAAACATGATTTTGAAAAAGAAACAAATATGTTTCAACTAAGTAGAGGCTTAAATTTCAAAAAAATTAAGGACATAAATAAGAACATCAATTTTTCTTCTAAGTCTTAAACATGTATCTTCAAATGATCAGAAACATTTTCAGTTTAGGTCACCCTGAGTTATGGTGTACATAATCAGATCAATGTCACTGACCTTCCCTCCACCAAAAAAAAGGTAGGAACTATCATTATTGTAACTATGTGAGTCAAACAAGAAATAAAATCCTCCTCTTTCTGGGATTATCCAAAATCCTGTTGCTGTCCATGGTAAAGAAACATATATTGTTATTAGTAACATGGCACTAAAATAAACTTCAGGTCTACTTTATCTAGATTTGATTCTTACATTTATTCCAAAAAAATGACAACCCTGAAGACACAGTAGGAGAAAGAGAAGGAAGCAAGTTCAGGGAAGGGAAAGGAATATGAACGGTCCATGTTCGCATTCCTGACAATCTCAAACAGGAGATTGAGATACACAGGAGCCTGCTGCAACGTTGACTGATTTACTGAGGTTTAAGACAAGCCTTAAGGAAATCTTTACTCACTACTTTATTCTTGAAAATCACCCCTTAATCCTCTCTCCACATCTAACCCAAATACATTCTTGAAGGCTCACTTCAACTTACATCCCTTCCACACAGCCTTTATCTCAAGTCAGCCTACACACTCTCTCCAACTTCTAACCACCCACAGTACTTACCATCTTATGTATATAATATAGAACTAAAGATTAATTCAATGATAGGCACTTGAGTTGAATTGTCATTTTTTGGTTCTAGTAAGTTAGTCCTCCAGAGAACCTCTGTGCCCTCTCTGCTATATTTAGCTTATTTTCTCTGCTATACTCGCTGCTGAAATGGATAAACCCTGCTGCCTCAGATCAAAAAAAAAGATGCAACAGTAAAAGTTGTGCTTTCATCCTTTGGCTTCACCAATGAAACAAAAGAGAGCTCCCTGTCTTTACTTTGCTGCTTGGGCTCTCTGCAATAGTCCTTCCACTCTACATTGGTGGTATTCAGAAAACAATCTCCCATCATCTGCTCCCAGATCATACCATTATACCTTGCTCTACACTCTTTCTTCAGTAGCTGTGGACCTGGATAAATAGTATATCCCAGCCATGAAAATTCAATACCCCATTCTTACATATCTAGTCTAACAGAATCTTAATACCACTATATATATATAAAGTCCAAAAGAATTACCTTCAGCATTATGATTAAATTGTATACAATTCTAAGGCTCAATTAACCAAATATAATTTCCCTAATACAAAATCTCACAGGGTCAAGGACCATTAGCTTAATTACATTTCATTTTTATTATGTTGTTGGAAAAAACATTTTTTTAGCTATTTACTAAGAAGTATAAAAGCAATTTGGGTTGAAATAAAATAAAAAATATAAGTTGTTATTGTTGCATTCTTTGAATTGATTGGGTATGCTCTACAAATAGTTATAGGAATAGCATCTTCAAAAAATAATAAATCTTTCAACATCTAAAACAAATCCAGATTCCACAAAACCTATGTTTGTCTAATTATAGCTTTGTATTTTGATGTGGTTTTCTATGTAAATAGATTTTTAAGAATTGCAATTGGAATGTATTCTATTAAAAGCAGATGTTAAAAGTTACAAAGTACCAAATGTTTATTATGCATCCCCCAAAACAAATCTAAATTGCCTTATTGTAAGATATTTAGTGTTCAGACACACTTTTAGGTCTGCAGCATAAAAGACAAAGTAACTGTCTAAATCAAACTAACAAAAGTTTTGCCAGCTACAACTCAAAGAATTAATGCCAATACAAACACTCTGCTTCACCTACTCAGATTATCATTTACACCATGAACATGGAAATTTCTATTGACTATGATAAAACATAACTTAAAAATACTTGCAATCAGTAAATAAAATAGAAACAGGAATTCACAATTCAACACTTCTCTTTTCCTTTGCATGGCAGTCAGTATTACAGCAACAGGCAATATTTGAAGTGCATTACACACATTCCCCCAACATCAACATAACAAGAAGTCTTTTAATAACATTTCATGTCAAAATGAACCACAATGTATAACTATAGTGCACTAAAAAAGTCTTTTAAAAAGAATCTTGGAGGTGGGCTGAGGTTGTGGCTCAGTTGGCAAAGCGCTTGCCTTGCACATATGAGGCACTGGGTTCGATCCTCAACACCAAATAAAAGATAAATAAACAAAATAAAGATATTGTGTCCATGTATAACTAATTTTTATATATATATATATATATATATATATATGAATCTTGATTGAAGGTATTACACATGCATTCCCAAATAAGACCAGTTAAATGATGAATGCTTCTTTTCCCATCATTATTGTAAATTTTTACAACATAAAAAAAAATGCTTTTTATGGAGTATTTGGTAAAGTCATCAAGTACAACAAAGAGACTAAACAGGATACAAATTTCTAATTCCTTAATATTTACATCTGTATTAGATATGAATCCCTTCACTACCTCTCCATAATAAGCAGCAGATTTAACTATTTTTATAATCATATTTCCAGAGGTTAAAGCCCAACAAATTTAACTATTGTAAAAAAATTTTCTCCGCAAATCTTTGGGAAGAACATTTAATCTAAGAAATAGAAGAAATACATGATGAGATTCATTTGCTTTGCATTAAATGGTTACACAAATGTCAGTTACATATTTTTAAAACAACACATATTCCTCTTATTTGCTCTTGCTAACTTCTGTGGGCAAATTTACATTGTGGGTAGCATGTTCCTTTACAGATCTTATAAGCATGATTAGACATTATTTACTTTAGGGATGTTTTACAGAGATGGTTCTTTTTGTGTCGTGGGGTGAAAAAAAGTTATCATCAGTTGATGTTTGGCAAAATTTAACCAAAGTGGCTGTCTAACTCTAACCACTATTTATATGCCACTCAGGCAAATGGCCCTCATTTTTATTGCTTTTAGAAGCCTATGTGTCTAAAGCTCACATCATTCAGATAAACTTTTATTTAACTGGGCAAATGTCATGCTTGGTGGTATCATAGTTTATGTACTTGTCAAAATCTGTTAGAATATGGAAAAAGTTTTCAAAGTGTATCCACATAAATTTTAAAATATAACTATAGTTATTTAAATAGTGAACATATATGAAAACAAATACAAATTCAAATATTTTTAAAGTACATATTCTGGTCTCCACATAAATAAAAAACTATGTTTATATAAAAATACTTCACATCCACATTTAAGACTTAATTAGGAAAACACAGGCTCTGAAAAGAGATAGCTGGAATTAGAACCCAAGTTTTTGGTCCCTTACTAACCCTGGAACATAATAGAATTCTACTAATATTTCAGTTTTCTGTAGTATAAACAGAGAACAACTGTGTCTGTCTCACAGGAGTATGGGGACTAAATGAGTTAACAGAAGTAAAGTGCTAAGAACAGTAACTGGCAAGTGGTAAATAATGGGTACAATATGACTTAAGATTGCTATGATTATTATTGTGGTTGTCCCATTATTATTAGTCTTACTACCATGTTTATCAAAATATATTTTGCAATGATCTCATTGGACACAAGATTAACAACAAAATCATATTTTTAAGGCAATTCTTATTACCAAAATCATTCCAAAGTAAATCCTCTCTCTTTCCTGCTCATAAGATTAGGTTAAATTTAATTTAATCTGTATGATTATGAACGATCCTGAGGTGACATAGGGTCATTATCCAATTATCCACATTAATAATCACTGATTTATCTGACAACAGAAAGTGAACTCATTTATAACCTCTGGAACATTTCTTAAAAATGGGCGAGTATGTAAGCCAAATGTCAAGGTTTAAACATAAGGCATCGTATAAGGTCCCTTTTTTTATTTTTCTTTTTATTCCTTAACAGATAGGTTGTTGATATTTTGAGTTAGCAGGTTAATATAGTCTAATTGACTACCATATAGCTTCTTAGCTAATCTCCTTATGAGTATTATTACAAAGTAAAATAAGTATGAATGAAGAAATTATCAAAGAACAGACTTGGATTCATGTTTCATGAGAAAAATATAAAATGCTTTGTCTTCAGTTCTTTGGAGGAAAGGATTTAGAAATCCAAGATATTCATCATTACTATGAATCTGGGTATTCAGAAAACAACCTTGTTTCTCCTTATACCAAAGGACAATGTACAATGTGCCCAGCTGAGGAATCGTCTATTATCACACAGAAAATGTCTGCTGCGACAGTAAAAACAGCACAGGCACCTCGTTAAATACCAGTGTATTTGAACAGTCTTACTTTCAAGAAGACAGATCACAGAAAAATTATTTGGCTATTTTTAAATATTTAAAGAAAAACAGAACTTCTAGCTTCCATTGTATATAAGAAGAATTGCTTGAAATACTGCCATAAACATTTGCCACAGCATTAAAGGCTATTAATTTTACTGGAAATGAATCATGAGGTACCAAAATGTCTACGCAGACAATCAGTGTATATTTCCCATTAAAAGGGAAACTATTTGCATGCATCCTGAAAATACACTTTCCTTAAACAAAATACTAAGTGTCTCAAGGAAATGGAATGTATAGATTTTTCTTCCAAATACAATGAAGTTAAATAAAATTATGTTTCTTCAGTAATATATTGCTTTTATATTATCTAATATACAAGGGGGGGAGTTTTTATCCCTCCAAAAACAGACCTGAAATGCAGAGATCAGTACTAAGACCCAGGCCAAGGAGTTGCTGAACAAGCTTATCAAGAGTCATGACAGAGACTGTTTCATAATCCTTGTTTGAAGCTGAAGGTCAACAGTAGCATCAGAAAGTACAAATTAAGACACTGGCAAAGTCTCTTACCCACAATTTATGAAATGTCTGGATAGAGTCAGATGATTATGCTGGGATGATGCTCAATACAGATGCATTGTTAATATGCAAAGAGGTCATTTGATGTCAACTAGCTTAATTTGAAGTATTGATAAAAAATAAATAATATTTCAGGAAGTTAAAAATTGACTGCTATGTTAAGTAAAGCATAAAATCCTATCATTTTTGGGTAAAATATGAGATTTTTTTCCTTGTCTGAATTCCCTTGGCAAAAAGAGGGGTATTGAGAGGGAGGAAGAACATCCTTCATTTTTCTGAGTATTTATTCCCTTGACAAGAGACTGCCCATGCCATATATGTCCACTTGTCAGGTGACAGTTGTGACTGCCTGAGTCTCTTTAACGTCTGTAACTCATACTCCTTGCCCAGACAACTGTCCCATCTCTGATACAGTCCATGAGAAGAGATATGAAGATGACTCAGCCTCGGAGCACTGTATGTAAATATGCCATGGAAAAGATTTGCAAAATAAATCTCTCTACCAGAGAAAATATGATTTTTCCACTGACCTCTATTCCCCTTAACATTGTCACCTTGGACTTATTATTATGACATGGATGATTTTCTGGTTTTTAATCATTACGGATCATAGTCTATGGACTTGATTTACATTTTAAAGCTATTAGACAGAAATGGAAATTTAAATAGTGAAATCAAAGAATAAACTCTCAATATGGAAAATAACTGGGCTGTAAACATCTCTGCTTATCTGCCCTCTCTCATTTTATATATGAGCATTATTTCAGTTGGATTCAAGCATGAGTGGCAGTCAAGTCCTGCAATTAGGAAACAGAGCACATAAGCAAAGCAGAATCAATCTCTATACTCTTAAGAAACATGTCAATAACTACATTTGTAAAGTCCTCCTCCCTCAGTTGGCTAGTTTGTTAATTTAACAAATGTTTATTGAGTACCTACAATGTGCCAGGTGCTATCTCAAACTATAGTAATTCTTCTGAAAATAGTTCTGAGAATAGTTTTGATAATTTCAACCATATCATGTTTGGGTTTGTATCCTTCTGAGATTAATGAAACGTCTGGGATGAGCCTACCCACTCAGTCAGCTATGGGCCCTTGGGATCTGGCTGTCCCATTCAAATCCATCCTTTCCTGGTTGAAAACCACCATATACAACTGGTAGAAGGTGTCTGTTCTGAAATTAATATCAACAAAAAGAACTTTGGGTCATATGCCTAGCTTCAACTTCCAGGTCAGAGGCAAAAATTCAAGAATAACTCCATTATCTGGCACTCATATGGATGGGGACACTGGCCTCTTTCTCCCCATTTCCCTCCCAAGACCTGGCTGCTTGCCATTTCCTTACATTCATTGTACTCTTTCCCACCTCCTGCAGTAGTTAACAAACGCAGATGCTCCCCAATTCAGGGTGATGGTTGGACAATTCTTAATGTCTGGAGCTCATTACTGTGGCATTTTACTACACCTTCCTAAATGCCACCCTGGAGAAATTTGAAATACCATTTCATGATCAAGTTCAAAGAATGTAGTCCTTGAAAAAGTTGTTTGGGAATGCTTTTTTCCAAATGCATCAGCCTTTTTTTCTGACTCATGTCATGCAATGAAGATGTTAAAAGTGGATATAAAACTTTCTTCCATATTTCAAGTACAGTGTGACTGTTCATCTGGGTTTTAATTGCATCCATTTCAGTTATAAGGCAGCAAAAACACCTCATCGGTTACTATAGATTGAACTTCCTTACTTGCTTATTTTTCTCTGCCCACTCTTGCCTTTCTTTCCATCCATACTAGCACTCAGGTCAATCTGAATCAAGTAAAAACTGATTTCCAGACCACTAATTCTGGAAAGAAGCAAAGGCTGTGATTTTGGAAATATGAAAGAGTCAGAACATTATTACTGAATGGAGTTGATCATTTCTGTTCCATCTGGGTTAGTCTTAAACTTAGCCACATGTTCTAAAATTCTAATATTTGCTATCTACCTAAGGTCTGTGAAGGTTTTACACAGTCCATAAATAATTTCAAAGTTTTTCCAATGAAAGTTTGTACTTCTGTCAGAAACCTGTCCAATATCAGAAAGCACAAGAATACTTACCTGTTTAGCCTTGGTCTTTGAGATAGTGTCAGAAATAGGTTTCTTTCGCTCCTTTACAGCAGTCTTAGAAAACAATTCCTCAAATTCATGACAATCTATGGATGGCTCTTCAATTTTTTCCCAAATAAGTGAAGGACTGGAGTCTCTATAGTTAAGCAAAAGAACAATGAAAGGGCCATCAAGCAGAACTACATCACGTGGAGCATAAACAGAAAAGAAGGGAAGGCAGGGAGGGAAGAGGCAAACAGAAAAAAAAAGGGAGGGGAAGGAAAGAAAGATAAGGAGAAAGTAATATTTTATCAACTTGATGAGAAAGTTAAAATTCTATCCTTTAGGACCAAACCTCTGCCGTGAAATAATTTCCAGGAATTCTGAGGTATGAAATCACCATATAAAAACATAAAAAAGAAACTCCTTCTCAGAATGGGCTATGAAGGCAAGAAATGCTTGATATCTCACAATCCCAACTTGCCTCATTAGCCTGGCAGATTACTCATGGGCTAAAAATGTATATTTCCAAGAAAGCATCCTCCCTATCCCCATTACCTCCCATTGACCATTATTATTTGGCTTCTCAATGAGTACAGATTCATGGAGTATCATAAAAAGTGTTATATGATTTTTACAAAAGCAAAACAACAATAAAACAGAAGAACTTTAAATCATGTATCTGGAGATAATTAGTTTGGGGCACAGTTTTAAAATGATCCATTGGCATAAATAAGTGATAGGGCACCTTCACGGAGAATGAACAACAAAGTTAAAAAGTAGTCAAGATATATAGATTCTTGCCTCCTGATGGGGTTTAGTGAAGAGAAAATTAGCAAAAGAAACAAAAAAGAACCTGCTAAGTATACTGTTTCTAAATGCAAGTCACATAACACAAAGAAAATACAAGGAAACGTGATAAGTTAGAAGAAGGAAGGCCAAGGGCATTTTGAGTATCTGGTTTTTCTTTCCCCTCCTCCATATTCCACAGAGAAGTCTCCCAGCATTGTCTCAATGACTAGGGAACCAGGTCATGGACAATGCATGGATGAAATCTGGTAGCGGATTGTTGAAAAGTATTATTTTATGATGATTATTCCCAACTATGATTTTATAACTTCACACTGTATAGATAATCACTTGTAGAAGTGCCATGAAATTCTTTAAAACTAAATTATTTCACACGTGGAATGTGGATATATTTTTGCAACTGTTTCTTAGGAAAGACAGCTACAAACAAAACAGAATAGTAAAGCAAGGCTATGTCTTTTAAAGGATGCAAACACCATACTTAGCAATCAGTTTGCCTATGGATTCAATTTATATTTTTAATTTATAAGAAATGAAAATTTAAATAATAAAATCAATGATTTTTCCCTATAAAAAATCTTTTAGGGAAAATAACTGGTCTACAAATATCTGCTTATCTGCACTCCTTCATTTTGTGTATAAGCATTGTTTCATTTGGATTCAGGCATAAGTAGCAGTTAAGTCCTGCAACTAGGAAACAGCACATATGCAAGGAAATATGTCCTTAAAAGACATGTCAATAACTATATAGAGGGACATATATACATCTCACACATCAAAACATATGTCATTTGTTTTACCCCTTTGATATTGCTGGAGAAAAGCCTGCAATTTTAAATAACAAACTGTTTCACCAAATAATGATATAAAAATCTACAGGTAAGTTTTAGAATTATACTAAAAAAACACATTAAGTTGTATTTTTCCCAACAGGTTTAAGGCACAATGCTCCCCTTGCATTGACAAAACTGTATGAAGATGAGCTTGCTTTCATGTTACCTTTTACTATGGAGTTGAATTCTTGTCCAGTAAAGAGGCTTCATTGGCCGACAAGGCTCTATTGGTTGCTTCCTACTCCCTCTGTCCTGATTCATCCCTAATCCAAACAAGCCAGTAGGCAATGGAGGAGGAAGAAACCCACACACTTGTGGTGTTGGTAAAGTGCTACTCCCAACTTGTGGGGAGAGTGAAGGCCCAGACCCAGTGAGCAGAGGGGGTGGGGGAGGTGGGGGGATCCCTGTCCCAGGAGGTGGAGGAGGAGGGGCTGGAGCTGGTGGAATTCCCATACCTGGCAAAGGAGGAGGTTGGGGAATACCAACTCCAGGAAGAGGGGGAGGAGGAGGTATTCCCACTCCAGGAAGAGGAGGGGGAGGGGGTATTCCCATTCCAGGAAGGGGTGGGGGAGGAGGTATACCAGGAAGAGGAGGGGGAGGGGGTATTCCCATTCCAGGAAGGGGTGGGGGAGGAGGTATACCAGGAAGAGGAGGGGGAGGGGGTATTCCCACTCCAGGGAGGGGAGGAGGTGGAGGTATTCCAGAAAGAGAAGGGGGAAGAGGTATTCCCATTCCAGGAAGAGGAGGAGGGGGAGGTATTCCTACTCCAGGAAGAGGAGGAGGGGGTGGTATTCCCACTCCAGGGAGAGGAGGAGGAGGGGGTATTCCCACTCCAGGGAGAGGGGGAGGAGGGGGGATTCCCACTCCAGGAAGAAGGGGAGGAGGGGGGATTCCCACTCCGGGAAGAGGGGGAGGAGGAGGTATTCCAGGAAGAGGAGGGGGAGGGGGTATTCCCACTCCAGGGAGAGGGGGAGGAGGAGGTATTCCCATATCAGGTAGAGGAGGCGGGGGAGGTATTCCCACTCCAGGAAGAGAAGGAGCAGGAGTGGGTGGCAGCATTTCAGTACCAGGCAGAGGGGGAGGTAGGGGAACTGCTACACTGGGCAGAGGAGGCACTGTCACATCAGGGAGAGGGGAAGGTGATGGAGTTGCCATGCCCAGGCTAGGCATGGAGGTAGAGGATTCTGTGCAAGGCAGAGGTGGTGGGGGTGGAATATTACAGCTGTTTCCAAAGGAGGAGAAAACAGAGTGTTCATGGCTGGTTTCAAACTCAGTACGAAAAGAAGGATGGGACAACTGTGACCCAGGCTGCCCCTGACTATCAGAACATGGAAGGGATGAAGGTGGTAGAGGCTGTGATACACTCGGCGTGGACTGATGGGCCTCAAGCTGTACTGATATTCGCCTTGGAGACACAATCAAAGAAATCTCAGAACAAAATTTTGTCTGAGGTCCAGAAGGTGACGTTGGAACAGCTGACTCTCCACTTTCAGCCCCAGGTGGACATGGAGGACCTTCTGACAGTGCCTTCACAGATGGTAGTGTTAGTATCCCACCCTCCTCTGTTGGGGAAGTCTGTATAGATTTTGCCTCTAAAATCCTTTGAGGTTGCATATCCTTTCCTACTAATCTTAAAGTTTCTAGGCAGACATCTTCTGAGGATGTCACTCCATTCTCAGCCCCTTGATGGCTGCCGGCCACCTCGGTGTCCAAGACAGGGTACTGCTTTTCTAGTTCAGCTATTTTGGTCCTCAGATCTTCGATGGTTTGTTCCAGTTGCTGAATTACATTTGCCTGTCCTTCAGACTTCATATCCAAAATTTCCTGAGGGACAACAAGTACAGATTACAGTTAGATAGAAAATTAGGAAAAAATCGAAACATCAAAAGAAGAAATGTAAAATTAAAACAAAATTGTACTTGTTGGTTGTAATACTTCCAAAGAGATACCTCCACAGAAACACAAGATTTTATAGTAGTTTATACACATTACTATATGATCCTAAGTTCCTTATATGTCTCATCTTCTAATGTCACTAAGAACAATAGATGACTAGGAGTAGGAACGAAAATGCTGAGTGACAGTTATTTCTAAGTTAGGGCTATCTCTTTCCTGCCTAAGAACATTTGCTGTTAGGATAGTCCCTGAAGACATTTCTAAAGTAATCCTGAGTTTTAAAGGCAATCATTATCTTTTAAAAGTAGTGACGAATAAGTCTCTAATGAGGGAATGTGAAGTACTTTTGATATCTGTGGGAGCATGGGCACACACTTTATGAGCATGTGTCATACCACTTATATAATGTTTACTGCAATTTTAAAGCTTTACCCAAGGCATTTCAAAAAGTGATAACTGATGGTTCTTCACAATTTATAAAGATGGACACTTTATTTTTTTTCTTTGCTTTTTCAGTATAAAAGATTGAATGCAGTGATTTTTTTTCCCACTGAGCTACATCCCCAGCTCTTTCTATTTTGAAACAGCGTCCTCCTACTTCAGCCTCCTGAGTCTCTGGAATTACAGGTATGTGCCACCATGCCTAGCATGATGGACATTTAGGCAAAAATTTGAGTGTTACATTATATTTACATGTAAGTATAGGTATTCATACACACACACACACACACACACACACACACACACCCCTCAAAGTTCAGGGAGAGGAGGAGGAGGGGGTATTCCCACTCCAGGGAGAGTGCAGACAAATGTGCAGACAAAAGAGCAGAGTATTATAATGCAGAGTTTGATAAATTGTGCTGTAAATTTTCCATTGTAAAGGAAATTACTATAATAAACAATGTTTTATACCCTGTTTGCTCACTATACATAATTCCATTCATCAATTATGATGCTGGTACATATGAGAAGTAATTAAAAGAAAATGCTAGCATTAAAATTCATCCTAACAAGAGTATGACTAGTCCTTTGTTACAATGGGTTAATTAAATGTATAGATTATCTTCATTTTTCAAGCACACCTTAAAAGTGACCTTCAATTACAAATCAATAATTCTTGAATTATCCTGGTATATAATTATGGTTCCCATAAATTATTGTTATATAAAAAAGGTTAATTGATGAATGGCATACAAGAAGTAGATTCTGGAACAGTTTTCCAAAACTCTATTTTTATTTTTAAAAATTTTTATTGGTGCATATTAATTATACATAATGGCATATTTATACAAGTGCATAACACTATTTAATCAATTTCATTGCCCAGTACCTCCCCTTGTCCTCTCCTTTGCCCCGTGCCCATGCCTGGATGCCTTCCACTACCCTAAGTGTCACCCTTCTATTTTCAAGAGATCTCTTTCATTGTTGTTCCTTTTTCTTTTTTTTTTCCTCTAACTTCTACAAATAAAAGAAACCATATGACACTTGTTTTTTCCAAAACTGTATTTTTAAATGATATTATATAGGCCAGTTCTTTTCCATCACAGATCTGAATATCATAAAAAGCATTATAAAAATTTGGGACAGTTAGCAAAACAAATTCACAAAGAAGAAAGTGATCCTTAAGTCATAATGGCCTACATAGTAGAAATTATGACACACTTTTTTTCTATATGGATTTATGCTTCCACAGTCACAGGCAGCTACTCCAACACAGCATCCATAGCTAGTTACAACAAATGTCATAGTATCAGTGACTGGGAAGATATCTTGAATTTTTAATTATAATTTACATAGTCAGTTGGCAAAAGATTAAGGAGAATCCTGTTATACATGAAAACTGGAACCAGAAAAATACCTGAATAGGGATTCATCATGACATGACTACAACCATCTTGAGTCATAACCACCATGATCACTCCTGAGTAACATTGGTCTGTTTTCCCCCATGTAGCCTCCCAGCATACTATAAATACACAAAACCATTAGAGTGGTATGTAGAGTTTTATGACCAGACCCTTGTGCCAGGAATGTCCCTGACTCTTTGGTATTAGAGTGAGATAAACCAGGTACATGTAGGCTTAGATGAAGCCATTTGGGTCCCGACCAATATACACATCCTTACTGCTGACCCAAATCAAGGGGATTCACTGATTGTGCTGCCTCACAGGACCATGTTTCTATTAGTAAGTTCCCAATAAACTATACTCTGTGTAATTCTGGATCTGTTCATATCCTTCAGTCTCACAGTACCTGGGGCTATTTCTTATACACTGGGATTATGTTGTTCAGAACAACCTGTTAAGTGTAATACACTCTAGACAATTTGGTTGTTATGTTAGACGGGTTCTCCCAATCCTCACCACCTCTCCTGCTATTTATTAAATTGTAAAGAAAAACTATTTTCATAGACTCTCTTATAGCCAGGTTCAACCAATTAAGTGTAGTCACACAGGGTTTTAGAAAGTGGAATGAGGTGAGAACCATGTCCTTTGTGCTTTGGTTGTTCTGTTGACAGTAAAGATCTGAAAATTTGAAGCTTCTCTGAAACAACATTCCAATGTTCACTCTCCAATTTGCAATAATAACCTCAAAGGTCTTAGCTTTCCTGGTAGACCATGTTTCAAAATCTATAAAAGTTTTAGCTTAGAAGTAGATCCTTTAAATTTTCCAACCTTTCCATAAAACACTTTATTTATATAGTAAACACTTCTGGTTAATACACCTAACATATGTTCTGGTTCCTGCAACAAAGCATAATCAGGTCCCAATATTTCAGAACAAATTGTGAAAAAAGAATTTTTTTTCCTAAGCAACTGTATCAGATTTTTAAAATATATTTTATAATAATTGCATGCATTTATAAATTCTTAGAGTTAAAATAATTTTCCACAAAAATTTTTGGACAAAACTACATGGTGCTATTGTGAAAAGATGGTCATTTTTTGGTAATATCTGAGAACTTCATCAATCTTCTTAAAGGCCTTTGGCAATCATGATGTGTAAACTTACCTTTAAAAAAAAATATCTGTTATATAATAATCCTTGCTGTATTTGCCAACTATATTAGGTGATCATGAATCCATTATATAACATGTGATACAAATCCTCCATCATCACCTTTCCTGATTTTAAGAAATCTTACAAATTCTGCAAGACTAGCAATGTTTCCTTATATCTGTATTTGCATCATGTGTCTTCAAACACCCTATCATTGACAAATTCACTCTGATAAAACTAAAGCATGGTGGATAGTAATAGATGGCCTATGTTAAATAGGGAGGGATTCAGGGTTGGACCTAATTTTATAAGTGGTCAATTTATTATTTTGTGTGCATTGTCTATTTTACTTATTTTTTTTAAACAAGGAGATAATTAAGGGCAGTTAGCTAATAAAAAGTTGAGAAAATAAGAATTTGATATACTCTATCAGTTCCAAAAGTTTTCAAATATGGGCTGGGGTTGTGGCTCGGTGGCAGAGCACTTGCCTAGCATGTATGAGGCACTGAGATCGATTCTCAGCACCGATATAAATAAATAAAGGTCCAGTAATAACTAAAAAAAATAAATAAATAAAAGTTTTCAAGTATAAGATACAATAAGAACCAGAACTAAGAAATGGCAGAGGAAATAGTGATAAGAAAATAAAATTCCAGAACTGAGTCTATAATAAATAAGGCCATAATAGCCAGGTGGTTCCAGTAAGGTGGTAGAGTCCAATAATTTTTTAAGATAATAATATGTTAATATATAATAATAACAGATAGCAGAGACAAAAGTAGAAATTTTTATATAGATAATATTTTTATACAGTTTTTTAATAGAGAACATGGAAGAAAATTTGGGATAAGAGACTATCTGCTTCTTACATTATTCCCATTGTACAAAGAAAAAACAAACAAACAAAAATTTGCTAGACTCTTCATTCCCCTCTATGACTGTAAAATCCTAGTCCTGATTCAATGTTACAATTTTCTTCCATTCCAGGAAGCAGAGCAATTAATTAATGTTCATCTCAAACCTTAACTGACTAGCCTATAAAATAAAGCCAGCCAGCCACTATTACAGAATAGCCAAATATATGTAGGATTTTTTATTCCTGAATTTAGCTAAGAGTCATGAAAGACTCTTATCTGGCCTTCCTTACCCAGGGTATATGGAGGGCTGGCTGGCTCTGAGAGAGTACCAATTCACAGTGTCAGCGGGAACTTTCTATAGTGCTCTCTGGAGAAGGCTTGCCTTGCTTGTCAGCAGTTAAGGGGTGATTTCTGTGTTTTTAGTTTTGTTGTTGTTCATTTTTAGGGATTTATAAAGAAATTTACATGGTAAATATTGGTCATTATTAAGAAAAAAGATTTTCTATTCTTTGGTCAGTTAAGCAAACATCTTCCTCTTGGGATCCACAGGAAGTGAAGTGAAGATCTATCTTCAGGGCCACCCACTGACAAAGCTCTAATTTAATCTCTAAGAGATTGCCAGGCAGTCTGTGGTCCACAGAAAGCCCTCAATTTAGGAGCCTGCTCTCCTGTGTCCAGTGTCTGGGACTTAATCTTCTCTTTTTTATTTTCATTTATTTATTTATTTGATCTTCTCTCTCTTCAGGATACAAATAGAGGGAGGCCTATCAGATTCTCACAGGACTTGACATTGGAGAAACACACTCTAGACTTCTATATTTTTCAAAAAAGCATTACGAGAAACTGTGTAACACTATCTCATGTTAATGGTTCTTATTATCAAAAATTAAGTATTTTTTTAAAAAGGAAAGGAAAACCAATATTGGCAATTTTTGCATAGAACATATATAATGGAGGAAAGATAAACCTATTTTTAGTCAACACACTAACAAATGTATTTTATGTAACGCCAATTTTAAGATTATTTGTATTTAAAACTATTGTTTCAAAACCCTCAATCATTAAAAGTGG